CAATGTATGCATGTTCATTTATGTTTACAAGCTAGGGCAATACTACAAACCACAACACTGTTCAACGGCTGTTGTATACAACATCATATTGACGATATTTTAAAATACTTTGTATTATTGTGAAGAGAGATAGAAGCAAGGAGAGAGAGAGAGAGAGAGAGAGAGAGAGAGAGAGAGAGAGAGAGAGGGGAGGGAGAGAGCTTATTAGTCAAAATATTCTTATCTTTATGAAGTTTAACACGTACTTTATCCCTAACCTTTTCGTACTTAGCCTAGGTATTACAAAATCTTCATTTCATATAAGTGGTGATAAGTAATTATAGTATATTCATTATATATACCACGAATACGATGGTGGTATGTGGGCGTAATAAGTAATACAAAAATACATATCTATTATATACATAAATGCCTTTAATACAGACTCAAACATTTCTTCTTCCCGAGAAACGGGTAATTTTTAAATGATGAGCTAAACAACTTATCACATTTACATTCCTTTGGGGACAGCTAGATTCTGTCTTGATGGATACTGATGAATGTATCGAGGTATGAAACTATTTCTTCTTTCTTGTAATATGGGCAAACTAAGACATTCATCCTCTGTTTCCAAGTAGTCACAACTATCACCGGGCACAGATAAGGCAATGATTCCACTTTTGTAAAATGTTTGCTGAGCTCCTCTTTTTGTGCTTTTAAAGCATGTGCTAAGCATCAAAATTCATCAAGTGCCGGTATAAGTAAGTTATGTTTTATTGCATTTTGATGTAGGCGTCACCGGTTTCAGTTTGTTTATTTATTTGCAATACACATTGAGAACTAATAGCTACTCGATGAAGTGCATATACGATATAGGCAAACACATAACCTGCCATGTGCGACAGTGACGATAATAATATGTTGTGTCCTGTAGTTACTTATCTTGTAAGTCATTTCGTGGCCTCCCTCGCCAGTGTCCAGTGGGTTTCATGCATATGGCAAACATGGCATAGGTTTATTTTATCAAACAAATTTGGTAAGAGTTTATTCGTAAGCAACCTCCGTCCCGTATTGTGAGTGAGTTGGATCTAGCATCGTTGGGAATAATATAATATTGAACATCATATTAATTGAAAGTGGAGGGACCTTTGAGAGTTGAGAACACATATTCTTATGTGATATGATATAAAAGCACTGTTTCCGTAATCATTAAAGTTATGCTTAAATCAGAATCCGTTGTAAGATTCTGAATATATTTACTAAGCATGATCAAATTTCAAATTTTCAATTTTTGTTTTGCATGCTTTGAGACAACAATAGCTCTGCCATTGCATTAATACACCCCTGGCTTCCATTAAACTTCCTTGCATTGCTAATGTAAACACTGTGTAGGTTTGTTTTGAAGATGAGTATGTCTCTGCATGGGTACGTGTTGAATGCAGGCTGTAATGAGAGGGTAGCGAGGTAATCCTGTATTTTGCCTGCAACTCACGTTCAACCTGAACCAGAGACTGGCCAAGCGTGTCAGTTGGTATGAATGGGACTTGGTGTGTATGGGTGCAAAAAACTATATGCATATATTCCCATGAATCTTACCATATACATGGGCTTTGGTGCGTTGAATTTGACGTATTGCGTGATTCGTAGTAACTTATAAAACATTAGCATTGTCATAAATGGGGCTTGGGGCAGCGAACTTATAAAGCGATGCACATGCAGTGGATGTGAGTGTGTATGAGTGTCGGTGTGAGTGTTGCCGTGTGTGTGTTGGTGTGTGTATGTGTGTGCGTTCGTGCGTGCGTGTGTGCGTGCGTGTGTGTGTGTGTGTGTGTGTGATCTATCATTATTGCTTTTAGTCTGTCCTCACAACAATATGTTGGCTGTGAAGGCATAGTTGGTGTTAACCACACGTTTAAATGTTTCATGTCTTTAATGAAACACACAATCCCCTGCCGCTCCCGGATCAAGGTATAAATCGCTGCATGAAGCCGAACGCGGGGCAGACTTCATTAACCAGAACCTTTTTCTGCTGTGCTTGATTTCGTCGTTCAAAACATTCAAGTGTAACAAAAAGTGTGACAAAAGTGTAACAACAAGTGTGACAAAAGCTTGATGTCAACCAAAGGACTTTTTCAACGATTATATCTATCGATATTTCAATGTATGATACAGATTTGACGTTTCCGGGGGATGATTAAAGACCATTATCACCTCAGTGTTTAGTTGTAGTGTTGTTGCGTGATCCAATACCTGCCATTTCACAAAGTATACCCGTCCGCGCTGGTGTTCAGCCAAACCTGTTGGCGACACGAACCACCATTCAGAAAGTTGTTCTCATTCCTTTAGCGTCCACTTTGCCGGGTCTCAGTACTACCCAATTATTCTGTATCCATTACTGACTGCTATAAACAGATGAAACCTAGATTCGTTTGTCTGATAAATCGTTCGCATTTATTTTTCAAAGACCGTAGTCTTTATAGATCCCATAAATCTTTTTTATTGTGAACATTTTTATTCCTGTATCCAGGATTATTGGTATTGATCAAATAATTGGAAAGTCGGGAAGTGCAGTAACTATTTCCGTCCCACGAATGCGGGGCAAAATGGCGTACTCTTGGCCTCAATAGCCGAACCCTGGATTGGTGCATCCCTTCTATCAATCAATCGTAAGGGAAATCAATTGGCGGTCTATTCACGGGAGATGTCAGGTCGTTACAACCTGTGGGGTTTTAAAATATTGAAGTAATACATTTATTGGCTTTCGCAAGCGATCAGTTGTTTCTTTTTGTTATAAATTTAATTCAGAGATTGATGTGGGTCTTATCTCGGGTCATAACGATGCTCCTTTTTCACATGAGACAGAAATAGTAAACATTAGAAGGAGATGTCTAGTCTCAGACAGTCACCCAATACATGCTGTATTTGCAACAATACTCATCACTCATCCCGCCTTGATGCTTACATCGACCAATCTTTTAGATTTCAGCATTCAGACACCATAATAACTTCTTGTTGCAGACCGCCTCCGTGGTGTAGTGGTTAGAGCGTCCGCCAGGAGAGCGGAAGGTCGCGGGTTCGATCCCCCGACCGCGTCATACCAAAAGACGTTAAAATGTGGAACTTGTTGGTCTCTGCCTGGCGCTCGGCATTATGGGTACAACAAGGACTGGTCGGCTCGGAGTCAGTATACTGTGTCTGAGTGGGGTATTCATGCTTCACTGCGGCATGGTATCTCAGTGGGCTAGCACTATAAACCAGCTTTAGTCTGGGCTAGTACAAGCAGCCGCACATACACACGCATGCACGTCGTCATATGAGCGAAATATTCTCAAGCACGACGTTAAACCCAATTTCACCTCACCTCACCTCACCTCACCTCACCTCACTTCTTGTTGCTGTCAGATTTCATTCCCGAAACTCACCAAACCATTGCGAAGCGTGTATACAGAAATGCATTTGACTGAAAATATATATCTTAATAGTTTATGTGAATAGCGAAAGTCGTATTACAACAGAGATTCTATCTCAGTGCACATACCGAAGAATAAAGACATCTCACTCAAGATGACAGCCGTATTCATATACAGCCCTAGCTATTAGGGAATGTAACCTTTCAGGTGTCAATACTTTATAAGTGTTCGGCGAGTAATTGACAGATTCACCAATATCTACAACACGGAGAACAGGGCCATAGCTGTACCGTATACAGAAATATAATATTTCTAGTATATGGGGAAGATATATATTTATATATGTACATTTACACATTAGGATTTGTATTTTCGAACCGAACTAAGCAGGAAATCTAATATCTGACTATTAACATAAGGGATACATCCGATTGTTTAGTAACAGAGCAGGCCCTTGTGCTCTATGGACAATCACAATGCTTAAACACAGAAATGAGCTTCGCACGTTGTTGAAGCATTCTAAGACTTGAAGCTGAGTTCACATGCAGTGACATATGAAAATGTAAGGAAGAAAGTTTGATGGATATCAAGAACACAACGTTTCGGAGTATATACTTACTCCTTCATCAGGTGAATAATGAAAATGTGTTCAAAGCATACATGTACGTGCACGACAGAGAGATCCATTTTCTAAGGCAATGTGTAAAGTACTATGGCACTACGGTGTGCGTACGTGGTCGTATTTACGGTAAATAAGTAATGAGGGAACATGGGTGGTAAGGGTGTGTGAATTAGTTGACTAATCAATAGATATAAGCCTGTTGATATCACACTCTACCTGGATATAGAGGAATCACACCTCAATGTAACGGGATAGGTCACGCTTCAGAGACGGTAAACTGCTTGTTGTTCATTTCAAAGACTTGTCATTGAATATAGGTATTGAGAGGAAGCAACTTACATATCAATATTTAGGTCGTGTTTATAAACAAACAAATAAATAATGCGATCAACTTTGGTTAATTAATTAACACGGAGTTTGCAAGGTCCATGAGGTAGTATGACATTATAACAGGTTAACGTTATGAAGGCTTTTTAAAACAAATTGTATGCTTTCTATTTCCAGGGTGAGACTTAAAAGATGGATTGCGGTGGTAACATCTGGCTGTGATCTCCGTGGAGGGGATGTGCTGTTAATTCTGTATAAGGATACGTCACTGAGCTGATTATATTAAGAGGATGTAGTATGGTTGATTGGATCGTGGAAGTATTGTACAAACTTATTTTGACACCAGAGCTGATCCTTTTGGAATATATCCAAGGTCAGAAACTGAAAAATAGGAAACAGGTGTTAAGGTTCATTAGAAAGTAACCGATTAATCAGTATCACTTATTGGGACCATCGAGACGGGATCTCCAAGGCTGAAGTACTTCAAGACAGAATGCAGAGAAGACACGTTTGGTTCTGTGCACCCTGAGAAGCTTTGGAAGAACTTCAGCAAGGATCAATCCTTCAGCCAGATTAAAACTCAAACTATGAGCTCTGACTTCAGAGGCCTACAAGAGAACGCTTGTATACTGTAATGTGACCTCCTGGACAGTTAGTGTCATACATAATGCATCGTCATGCCAGTTGAGATCAAGGTGGTCATCCCAGACGTTGCTTCAGTCGAGGAGGATGAAAGCGACGATGTTGTCAACGACATCAGCGAGACGCAGTCAGAAATCATCAGACGCGTCAGAAAAAGCTCTGTCCAATCTAGACAGCGCCAGTTACGTCCATCATCGGTAAGTGTGAACGTAGGTACTTACAGCTGAAGGTGAGGAGCATGGGGTTTCAATTTGACGATATAAAACTCATTGGTTATGCATAGCAATAATATAGAGTGAGTGGGTATAGTTTTACGGCGTTTTCAGCAATGTCACACTAGGGGTCACTTATAAATTGTACGCGTAAAGGAATCGAACCCAGGTCCTCGCCGTGAAGAGAGGACACCTAGATTACCTCTGTAGCCGTCTTTTGAGTGAACAGGGGTTGCATGCAATTTATAGCAAGACACAAACTTTGTCATAAATGAGGTCTCCTTGTCGAAAGCCCTATCCAATAGTAAATTACATACTTAAGAAAAAACATTCTGAAATAATGATATGTCATAAGAATCTTTAATGTTAACCGAGTTGTTTACCGTGACGCTTGGTATTAAAGAACGGGGTATAACATTTTATATATATATAGTTATCTCTCATGAAGATTGCAAGCAATTGATGTCTGTGAATGTCTCAGGGAATATATTTCTAACGGTTTAAAGTTCTTCACTATATTAGGTGCTTCGAATGAAACCCATATTCATATTATAACATTCATACAGGAAATCTGGTTCAGATTTGCCCTAGTTTGCCAAAGTACATCTCCTGTGACATGAGTGTGTTTCGTCTACAATCTGCATTCATGGCATAGCGCCACTAATTAACCTAGCAAGAGTTTTAGTCCTACAACCGTTGAATAAACACAAAACCTCTCAACCTATTTTACACGGCCTTGAGGTGCACTCCTTCCCCGCTCAAGCAGCAAATATATAATAGTTTCATGTAACACATCCATAAACACATAAAATCAAATGTAAATGCAGAGAAACATTATAAAGAGTACAACTAACATTCAAGCATACCGATTCTTAGGCAAAGATATTCTTCTATTCAAGATTGACACCAGGTGAAATATGTCAATTGGTAAAAAGCAATTAAATGGAATAGTGACATAGGTTCTCGCTATTAATGCCCTGATGTCTGTCTGCCTGCCCTCCTTCTTTTGAAAACCGTGACGTACTAAGTGTTAATTGAATGGGATCTACAATAGGGGACGGGGTACGGCTTGTCGGGTGAAGGGGCAGAAATCTGAAACCAAGCCACACACAGTTCTGGGGAAACAGTCTATGAAACCTAATTTGCTACCGTATGTATGTATTTTCAAGTATGTCAATTTGTCTGTATGTGTTTAATGTGTAATGTATTTGTTTGGGTGCGTGGTCTTTACGCCAAATGCTAGCGATTTTCGAACCACAGCAAAGGGAGGGCCACAAGACCTGTTCACTTACCGATTCAAGGAGCCCCAGCGTGATCCAGGTATCAAACTGAATAATTGCAATATGTGCAGTGTAAATTAAGTGCAGTCTTTACATAGTTCGGTTAGTTTGGATTATGTTTCTGAAATGTATTTGGAATTCATCTATTGAAAAAGTGATTGTGACCAGCTGCCGGAAAACAGAAACGAAATTGGATTTGATCACGAAATTACCAACGTTGTCAAAACGTTACTGAATCCAGTCGTGGAAACACTGGTAACATACGATCAATAAACACATGTGTGATATCGAATAGAAATCCCCATAGAGTAACCATTTCCTATTTAGTGCAATTTTAGCTACCACAAGAAACATGGGTATATACTTTCTTTTTTTCCGCTAGTTTAGCTCATTCGTTTGTATATGAAAATGTGTATTTGTTGTCTTCTTGGAAACTAAAGATATATTTTTCCTTTGATGATAACAAATAATTACAACACACAGGAATATATGTCTAGACATCTCGAGGATTAATCATTTTTTGAAATGCCCAAAATATAAATGTAAGCAGAAAATGTCCCATCACCACCACGGTGGTTGTAAACGTTGACTGAAATAAGCTGCTGACCTGACCACGCGGTTGTATGATCTGATTGGCCAAGCCGTTATTACACTGAGAGTGCGTTTATTTGTGACTACGGAGTAAAACGAAATTCACATGCTCACTCAGCATCTGAAACACACAAACGCCGTTTTCCTATGCTATTGACAGCACAAACTAAAGAGCACATTCTCTGGATTGATATGAAAGGTTTTGTATTTTCATTTGAAATGATAATCAGTTTAAATTAAAAGTTTGAACAACTATATGACTGTATTATTCTTAAACTAAAGCTACGACCGCCGTGGTATAGCGGATAGTGCAACTGCCTGAAGAGCGGATGTTGGGTCGATTCCGGGCCGCATATGCATCTTACTAAAAGTCGCTTAAAATGGTACTTTTTATTACCCTGCCTGGCGTTACCGTGATTATTTAGCCACCTGCATTATTAACAGCCTTGTTAGAGGACCCTAGGGTAGGTATGGGTGGTCGCTAAATCTGAGGTGTCTGTGATGTCCACTGCCATGAGGCACCTGTGTCAGGAGCCGAAATACGTTGGCTCGAGATTCGACCAGATTGTTGTTTGGTTTTGTCACCATCACGCTCGTACTTGTAGGATTCATAAAATGGGGCCTGTAAATTACTCGATGAAACTTTTATAACATGGGGCACAGGTGGCCAACTCGCCTAAAGAGCCACGATTCGCTGTACAGAGTTGCGTCCGGTAGGCGCGCCAGGAACCCGTGACCGTGGGTTCGAATACCAGCGCCCTCCGATTACCTTCCTATAGCACCATGACCTGGCTCGCAGCTTTCAGCAAAATGGTAAACGTCTAACAGCACAATGCTGGTGGTTTCTTTGCACACACACTGGGAATCGAACCCGAGTCTTTGGAAGTACATCTTTAACAACTGACCTACCCAACAGCCCCCTCAATAGCAAGCTACTATAATAAGGTAAACGACGCAGCATATTTTATGTAGAAACAGGTATGTCACAATTCAACACAGAATTATACAGTAAGCGATAATAGTACAAAAAAGTAACCGTCCGTCTCAGTGCCCGTTATGATAACATCACTACCCCTATCTTGTTGAAATGATCACAAAGTGACTAGTTCGGCGTGACGTTGCTCTCCGTTCTGCCGTTACGACATTGGATCGATATCGATTCGGCCCATCTGGTGTGGATACAATTGAAGCGATCGTTGTCCGGATTACGACCGTTAGGGGTCTTTTACCCGATGTGCTTGGCCTTTTACCAGAATATGTTTACGTGCCGCTTGCAGTTAGGGTCGGAGATAACATCAAACATTTATCAAGCAGAAAGTCAGAGGACTTAGAATGCTGACTGCGCCTAGAAGAGACCATGGAGTCCACAACATTCTTTATAACAATCAGCTTAAGTCTGTCCGTCAGTCGAAGAAAAAAGTCAGATAGCAAACACTTTGTCTAGGTGGTGGTCGATCGCGAAGCATATCGTGGAAATATCGCTGGGGATTTTCTTATGTGTGACGACGCAGCTATTCTGGAAATTACAACAGGCTTTGTTGACAGCAGACGACTTCCGGTGAACGCTGTCTCCCAGAAGCGCTCCCCGTGTGCCGTCGAGGGACAATACAGTGTTATTTAATCAGACCCCGTATACAAGACTCAGTCTGAGATAGGACTTCTTTCTATAAAAACGACTTTCCATTAATCTGGATTGACATTTTGTAAAATGTACACCTCGACATGCTTACAAGTGCGTTGGTGATATCTAGGCTGTTGGCAAGCGTTAAAGGGTATTAAGCCACGGTATCGCGTTCCCGTTGACAGACGACATCTGTAAGGTGATCCATTGTTTTGCGATTACTAGTCCACATGGATGGAAGAGACTTATACATATTATCCATTGTTGGTTTTACGACTCGGCTCCATATCGCACGCCGTCGTAGTTTCCCGCCAAATCCCTAAATCTCCTTGTGGAGTTGTCGTCTGCTTACACCTGACATTAATCTTCGTGCCATTCAGAGAGGAATATTGGACTATATCGTTAAGGGATTCCCACGGATACAGTTTTGTGATATGAACAGATACCATTTGTTTGTCCGAATCAACTGGAAGATTGATACTCCTAGTTCCTTTGTGCTGAATGAGCAACTCAGACATGAAGAATTTCTCTATCGAACTCCCCGAGCCGATAGCAGTAAATGGGGTAAGTGTTCGAGCTGAAAGTACTCCTGAAAATACCTGTTGATAATGATTTCAAATGAAAGATAAGGAGAATGTACTCCACAATTTTTCTTTCATTGCTTTCTCCTTTCTTCCAATGCCCTGTCCCGACTAAAATTACTAAAAGATGGTACTTGTTGTTGCCCTGTGCTCAGCATTAACGTTGTACAACAAGCAGTGTTCGGACCCGTAAAGATCCGGGTTAGAATTCAGCAACCCACGCTTGTCGTAAGAGGCCACTAACGGGATCGGGTGGTCAGACTTGCTGACTTGGTTGACACATGTCATCGTATCCCAATCGGGTAGATCCATGCTTATGCTGTTGATAACTGGATTGTCTTGTGAATACGCGATTATTTACAGACTGCCGCCATATAGCTGGAATATTGCTGAGTGTGCCGTTAAACAACAAACAAACAAGCTAAGAAAACAAAAACAGTGTTCGGCTCAGAGCAGCGCTGAGTCCTGATCAACGGAGCGGTATTTAGGCTCACGTATTCGTAGGTCACTGCACTAAGACCCATACCCTACTTGTACATGGTTGAACTTAGAGTCCAGTTATTAGTCGTCGTAGAAAGGCCATCGAGCCCCACCTAAAGGGGTCGGGTGTGTAAAGAGCAAAGCGTTGACACAACCATAACACATTGTTCACAGGCACACACTGATACATTCATACTAAATTATCAATCAAGCAAGCTGTACCCAGACACATGATAGGATACAACGCACACTTTGTGCACAGGCCCATGCAGTAACAACAATACGCCGTTGAAACACACACACACACACACACACACACGCACGAGAGCACACACACAGTAACTTTAACACAATTGTACTTCATACGGGCCATAAACAAGTATTCTGTGCATAACGCAACCATTGTACTCTCAAAAGTTGTACTCTCACACA